CATTTAAAGTCACAGTTGTTTTTTTAAAATGAGAAAGGGTTTTTTACATTGATATGAAAATATCTGCAAGATACATTCAGTAAAAAGCAAGAGGTAAAACTTGTTAAAATTAATTTTTTTAAAAAGCAAGGAATACAGCATAGCAAGACACCATCTCTACAAAAAATAAAAATGAAAAAAGTAGCTGGATGTGGTAGCATGCACCTGTAGTCCTAGCTACTCTGGAGGCTGAGTCAGGAGGATTGCTTGAGCCCAGGAGGTCGAGGCTTCAGTGAACTATCATCACACCACTACACGCCAGCCTGGGCCACAAAGCAAAAGCCTATCTCTAAAAGAAATTTAAAAGAATAAAAATGTAGCTCTTTCCCTGCCGCCGCAGAGTCATGCAGAGGCGGAGGCTTCGGTGCGTTCAACATTCCGCTTCACCCGTAACCCACCGCCATGGCCGAGGAAGGCATTGCTGCTGGAGGTGTAATAGACATTAATACTGCCTTACAAGAGGTGCTGAAGACCGCCCTCATCCACGATGGCCTAGCACGTGGAATTCGCGAAGCTGCCAAAGCCTTAGACAAGTACGTGTATCAGTCTCAATACTGTGGGTTCTTGCAACCGGAACAAAACTGCCACCCAAGGGAAGAAGGCGTGGAGTTCATGGTGTTAGCGCAAAAGTTCTGAATGGCATCCATCCTACAGGAAACCTAGGAAAAGGCGCCAAGCCCATCTTTGTGTGCTTGCATCCAACTGTGATGAGCCTATGTATGTCAAGTTGGTGGAGGCCCTTTGTGCTGAACACCAGATCAACCTAATTAAGGTTGATGACAACAAGAAATTAGGAGAATGGGTAGGCCTCTGTAAAATTGACAGAGAGGGGAAACCCCGTAAAGTGGTTGGTTGCAGTTGTGTAGTAGTTAAGGACTATGGAAAGGAGTCTCAGGCCAAGGATGTTATCAAAGAGTACTTCAAATGCAAGGAATGAATAAATAAATCTTTGGCTCACAAAAAAAGAAAAAAAAAACAATAAAAATTTAAAAAAATAAAAAGCAAAGAGTAGAACAGTGTGAACAGTAGGGTGCCACTTCATATAAAAAAGGGAGGAAACTGACGACTGGACACTAACATTTAAAAGAAGTAGAGAGGGCTAGGCGCGATGGCTCACACCTGTAATCCCAGCACTCTGGGAGGCCGAGACAGGTGGATCACCTGAGGTCAGGAGTTCAAGACCAGCCTGACCAACACGGTGAAACCCTGTCTCTACTGAAAATACAAAAATTAGCCGGTGGTGTGTGCCTGTAGTCCCAGCTACTCAGGAGGCTGAGACAGGAGAATCACTTGAACCTGGGAGGTAGAGGCTGCAGTAAGCCGAGATCGTGCCACTGTACTCTAGCTTTGGTGACACAGTGAGACTCCATTTCAGGAAAAAAAAAAAAAAAAAGAAGTAGAGAGAAATGACTAAAGGTACTTCTGTATTTCTAAAGGTCACTGGAGGCTGGGTGCATTGGCTCACGCTTGTAATCCCAACACTTTGGGAGGCAGAGGCAGAAGGATTGCTTGAAGCCAAGAGTTTAAGACCAGCCTGGGCAACATAGCAAGACCCCATCTCTACCAAAAAGTTTTTTAAAATTACCCAGGCATTGTGGCACATGCCTGTAATCCCAGTTACTCCAGAGTCTGAGGCAGGAGGGTCACTTGAGCCCAGGAGTTCAAGGCTGCAGTGAGTTATGATCACACCACTCCACTCCAGCCTGGGCAACCAAGCGAGACACTGTCCCTAAAAAATTAAAAATAAAGATCACAGGAAACAGAAAACAGTAATCACTTAAAGGGATATACCTGGGCACATGGGTGGTGGGGGAGAAAGACATTTTCTCTGTGTATCTAAAAGGTTACCATGAAAAAAGTACCTTTTGGATCTTGAACCGTTTGGGTATATTGAACTGTGTAGATATATTACCTATTCAAAACAAACACAAACACAATAAAAACGATGGCCAAAGTCAGTACCAGCAGGGTCCTCCCAGACACAGTGGTGGCAATTCCTGGCTGCAAACAATGATATTGAAGACCACCGCCCAGGAACCCCCCTATCTTCAGACCAGACACAAATTGTCCCTCCTAGGTCTCACTTTACTTATTTGTAAACTGAGATTTCTTATCTTTTCCTGCCCACATCACAGTGTGGTTGTAAATCTAAAAAAAAAATTCACAGGGCAGGTAAATAGGACCCTGGCATGGTCTAGTGGATATGAAGAAAGATGCCTTTAAGTATTCCTATTATTTGACTTACAGGAGTATTATCTCAGGGGAAAAATCAAGCTCTAAACAGAAAAAAGGCTTGACGCACAAAGGATATCTTTACATTAAACTCAATAAAACCTACATGTCTGAAAATAGGGGAATAGCTTAGCCAGTGAAACAACCGCCTCCATTAGTAATGATGACTTGGAAGATTATGTAGCAATATGGAAAATTCCTTAGGATATTAGCATTAAGTGAAAAATAGTCTGAAATTACACATATAGTATGATTAAAGACATATGAAACACGCAGAGCCATCTGTGGTAGAGAGACTTAAGCAGCCGCCATACTGTGTGCCTCCTGGTGCTCAATCCCTCCTTTGATCCCCTCCCCTGAAGTGTAATGGGACCTGTGACTTGCTTCTAACCAACAGAATATGGCACAGGTGACAGGGTGTGCAGCACTATGTGCATGTGATTACATGATTTGTTATATAAGATAACAACACCCGGCCGGGTGCGGCGGCTCACGCCTATAATCCTAGCACTTTGGGAGGCCGAGGCGGGCGGATCACCTGAGGTCGGGAGTTCGAGACCAGCCTGACCAACATGGAGAAACCCTGTCTTTACCAAAAATACAAAACATAGCTGGGCGTGGTGGCACATACCAGTAATCCCAGCTACTTGGGAGGCTGAGGCAAGAGAATCGTTTGAACCAGAGGTGGAGGTTGCAGTGAGCCAAGATCGTGCCATTGTACTCCAGCTTGGGCAACAAGAACGAAACACCATCTCAAAAAAAAAAAAAAAAAAAAAGATTGCAACACCCATCTTGCTGGAGTTTTTCTCCCTGTTGTTGGCTTGAGCCTTGCAAGCAGCTCTGCTGGCGAATCCTGCATGCCCAGGAACTGTGGGCAGCCTCTAGAAGCTGAAGGTAGCCTCCTGCCAATAGTCAGGAAGAAACAGAAGCCCTCAGTCATACAGCGGCAAGGAATTGAATTCTGCCAACAACCTGAGTGAGTTTGGAAGTGGGTCCTTCCCCAGTCAAGCCTGAGATGATTCCACAGCCCCAGTCGACAACTTTTTTTTTTTTTTTTAGACGGAGTCTCACTCTGTGGTCTAGACTGGAGTATAGTGGCGTGATCTTGGCTCACTGCAACCTCTGCTTCCCAGGTTCAAGCAATTCTCTTGCCTCAGCCTCCCAAGTAGCTGGAATTAGAGGCCCGTGCCACCACGCCCAGCTAATTTTTGTATTTTTAGTAGAGACAGGGTTTCACCATGTTGGCCAGGCTGCTCTTGAACTTCTGACCTTAAGTGATCTACCCACCTTGGCCTCTCAAAGTGCTGGGATTAGAGGCGTGAGCCATTGTACCCGGGCCCAGCCAACAACTTGATTGCAGCCTTATGAGAGCCTGAACAGAGAAGCCAGCTAAGCCATGCCCAGACTCCTGCCCCAACAGAACTGTGAAGTGATAAACGTGCATTGGTTTAAGCCACTAAGATTTTGGTACTGTCACACAGCAATAGACAATAAACCATACATATGAAACTGGAAGAAAATATATACATCGCAATGCTAACAGTGGTTACATTTGGGTATTTGGACTAGGGATATTTTTTAAAATTTTCTAGATCCCAAATAGCCTCCAATATGCTTGCAATACCTACATAATGCTTGAAAGTTTTACAGGAGAAACTAGATGCAAAGATGCTGATCAGGGCTGGGCATGGTGGCTCACACCTGTAATCCCAGCACTTTGGGAGGCCAAGGCAGGAGGCACTGCTTGAGTCCAGGAGTTTGAGACCAGCCTGGGCAACGTAGCAAGACCTTGTCTCTACAATTATTATTTTTTTAATTAGCCAGACATGGTGGCATGTGCCTGTAGTTTCAGCTACTCCGGGGGCCAAGGTAGGAGGATCACTTGAGTCCAGTAGTTCCAGACGAGCCTGGACCACTTATTAGGTTGGTGCAAAAGCAATTGCGATTTCTGCCATTACTTTTAATAGCAAAACTGCGATTACTTTTCACCAACCTAACAGCAAGCCCTTGTTTCTAAAAAAAAAAAAAAAAAATTTAATTAGCCAGGAGTGGTGGCATGTGCCTGTAGTCC